TCTATTCTATTCTATTCTATTCTATTCTATTCTATTCTATTCTATTCCATTCCATTCCATTCCATTCCATTCCATTCCATTCTATTCTTTTTCTGCATTCTATTCTATTCTATTCTATTCTATTCTATTCTATTCTATTCTATTCTATTCTATTCTATTCTATCCTCCTGAAAAAAGCACCTTTGGGACAACCATGAGCTGGGGGGATGGAGAACACTCTATAGCCTTTTTCCAGATGTGCTGTAAGGCCTTACCCACTTTCGCACCGCGTGAGTGACAGAAGGATCCGTGATGTTTAAGGAAGTGCTGAGTCTCACCGACAGGATGAAGCGACTCCTGGCTGCAGGAAAGCAAAGACAGAGGGAAAAAAAAGAATCAGGTAGTCCTTGACTTACAATCGTTCTTTTTTAATGTCCCAACTTACAATGGCACTGAAAAAAAGTACATGTTGAGATATTTTTACACTTATGACCGTCGTAATATCCCCCAGGGTCACCTGATCAATGTTTGTCCACGGTTCATTCTGGGTGTTGCTTTCTACAGATCGTTGGGGAGGGATTGGGGCCTGGATGTTGTCTGCACACACCTGGCCTGGTAATACAACCTCAGGTTGAGGATTTAGTTTTGCAGTTGAACTGAACCAGAGGGCTGAAGGGGAATTTTGAAAATGGAGCTTTTTAGGAATCTCCGCTCCAGAGGTGGTGAATTCAACCAGTTCTGACCAGTTCTGGAGAACCAGTAGCGGAAATGTTGAGTAGTTCAGAGAACCGGCCAATCCCACCTCTGACTGGCCCCGCCAACCCCATCTATTCTCTGCCTCCCATTGAGTCCCAGCTGATCAGCCGGGTCTCCTTTGGTTGCCCTGCACAGGAGAACGGAGCTGGAAAGCAGGTTCTTTGGTTGCCCTGCACAGGAGAACGGAGCTGGAAAGCAGGTCAGTGGGGTGGGGAAAGAATGGAGATTTCGCAGTATCCTTCCCGGCCACGCCCACTGAGCCACACCATGCCCACCAAAGCCGTGCCCACAGAACCGGTAGTAAAAAAAATTGAATCCCACTAACCGCGAGTCCGGTCTCTTTTGAATTCAGAAGAATTCAAGTGTTCAGACAGAGGGGGAGGAGGTTTACCTGGAGTTTTAGGGAGAGCCTTCGAAGCTGAGGAAGATGTGGTGGTGGAAGAAAGGACTTTCAAAGCGGTTGTAGAATTTTCACTTGTGGGATTCGTGGAGGGCGGAGCAGGTCGCCCCAGGCTGGTCTTTCCTGGTTTGGAAGACAGAAGGCCGGTGGAGATAACTTTTGAGGTGCTTCTGTCTTGAGTAACCAAAGAGAAAGTTGAGGAGGGAGAACTTCCTGGCCACCAGCTGGTGATCTTGGCCTCAGAACTTGTAGTAACTTCTCTGGTTGTGTCTCCAACTCCAGAAGGGGTACTCAGAAGGGTGGAGGTCGCTACCCTTGGAGTAGAAAGGGGAACCAACAAGGGGGACGTTTTCATGGTGTCCGTAAAAGAAGGAGAACTAGGATGTTTCTCACTGGTAGATTCTCCTTGGGACGTGATGGAGATGATGGTCGAAGGGACTTCCGATGTCCTTTCGTCTTGGGGAGATGGAGGGCTGGAATTCATCTCCTCTGTGGTGGAACCGATGGAAAGCATGGTGGATTCTGCTGGGTGAGTGGTCCTTTCTTCTGAAGGATGCCCAAAACCAGTGCTGGAGATGGAAGTCATTTCAAGGGATGAAGAAGATGGAGAGACATTTGAGATGCCAACAGGAGTGGAAGCTTCAGGTGAGGAAGAGGAGGGCAGCGTTGTAGCTACTCCAGAGAGGCTTGTTTCTCCAATGGTGTTCCATGCAGTGGTTGTTTCATAGAGGAGAGCCACAGATGAAGAGAGGAATTCCGTGGAAGCTTCGGGTGAGGAAGAGGAGGGCAGCGTTGTAGCTACTCCAGAGAGGCTTGTTTCTCCAAGGGTTCTCCTCGGAGTAGTCGTGTCAGAGAGGAGAGCCACAGATGAAGAGAGGAATCCCGTGGAAGCTTCAGGTGAAGAAGAGGTTGGCAGCGTTGTAGCTACTCCAGAGAGGCTTGTTTCTCCAACGGTGTTCCATTCAGTGGTTGTTTCATAGAGGAGAGCAACGGAAGAGGCAAGGTACTTATTGGTCTCCGCTGCTGGTGTGGTAGTTTCCGTGCCACTAGCGGCGTCAGCCACAGATGCAGAAAGACGTGACGCTGATGATGTTGGAGAAGAAGTTGTGAGATTGGCTCCCCCTGAAAAGAAAAGAGACAGGTCACTTTTTGTGTTGACCAGCACTCATGTGGACCAACTCTTGTGTTGACCAACACTTAATCAGTGGAACGACTTGCCTTCAGAAGTTGTGGGTGCTCCATCACTGGAAGCTTTTAAGAAGAGATTGGACAGCCATTTTGTCCAGAATGGTGGAAACAGTATTAGGTTTCCTGCGAGAGCAGGGGGTTGGACTAGATGACCTTCAAAGTCCCTTCCAACTCTGTTACGAGTCTTTGAATGAGTCGCCAAAGGTTAGGTCCCTCCCAGAAGTCTCCACGCGGCCTATTTTCGATGCAGGTAAGTGCAGGGTTTGCGCAGAAGCTCTGGGAGGGGGGGGGGGAAACGGGACTATTTCCGGCTTTTGGAGGGCCTCAGGAGCCTGGGGGAGGCCATTTTCACCCTCCCAGAGGCCTGAGGGAACCCTCCGGACTCTGGGGAAGGCGAAAAATGGCCCTCCCGGAAGCTCTGGTAGGCCACGCCCACCATGGCCACGCCCACCCAGCAACTGGACAGCGAACCAGTTGCTGGGATTTTTGAATCCCGCCCCTGCTTAAGAACCTGCACAGCCGGCCGCCAGCCCATTCTGCCTAGTTGCTCACAGTGCCGCGCCCACGAGGCAAAAGTTGGGGTGGTGGTGGAGTTGCCCCCCCGCACCCTGCATGGACTTACCTCAGGGCCCCCGCACCCAGGCCATCTACGCCCTGGCCCCTACCTTGCAATGGTAGCACCGGCAGCCATGTGCAACAGAAGTCCACATAGCCGCTGGAACACTACTACTACTTGCTCATAGCCGCAATGGAGCAGGAGGCCAGCGGTGTGCTGGTGCCTCGGCTGCAAGGTGAGGCATGTTTTGGGGTGTGGGTGGCCAGGCTGCAGGGGCCCTCAGATAAGCCGGTGTGGGGCGCATGAGTAGCTCTGTGATGACCCCGGAGCGTGGCACAAAGGCAACACAGTCAAATAAACAAGAAGTGTCCCTTTAGTATCTCCAACTTTGCCGCCAATGTCCAGGTTACCTTCGGCTGGAGAAAAACTCTCCCAGGAACAGCATTTAAGTGAAGGAAATTCAGTCCAAAAACAAAGTACGTACAAACTGTAACTAAAAATCCAAACAAACCAATCTGTAGTAATTAACTCGACAGGGCAGGAGAAGGAATTGCAGACTTGAAAGGCCAGCAAAACACACACAGTTGGGAAGACGCCAGGAACCCAGATAAGCCTTGAAAATACCAGATAATTCAAAATTTGCTCCCAACAACTTGCTGTGTACAGCTTCCCTTTTTAAACACTGTGTTCCCACCTGCAGCTAATGAAGGGAATCAGGGCCCTTTCCTCCCCACGTAAGCCAGCAACTCACGTTGCTCCCTTCTCCATTCCTCCCTACGTGCCCTAGGATGAAGATGGGGTGGGCTTGGGTCTCCCTCTGAACTCCCTCTCCCTTGTTCTACCTCTTCCCTGCTCTGCCCAGCCGGACTGTGCCCTTCCCCAGTTTCTTCCACAGCCAACGGAGCCACACTCCCACTCCCCGTCAGCTGCTCGTTGTCCCCCTCAGAATCAGATTCCGACAGGGACATGACAAGCTCCATCCCCCCTGCCTCATGGCGATGACACTGGCACACGCGCAGCCTCCTGCCCTGCCACGAGCAAGCAGAAGAAGTGGGCCTCCCGTACATGGAAAAGAATAAAGACATACCCCAAAATAAGTCCTAGTGCTTATTTTGGAATCCAAAAGAAAATAAGACCCTGTCTTATTTTCAGGGAAACACAGTATCTGCTGGATAACTCCGCATTGGTGACAGGAAAGGCATCCGGACAGTAAACACTCGGCTAGCTCTATTCAGACTCCACCCCGCGATTGATTACGGGTCGATAAATGAGGGTGATGAGAGATTCCCTTCACTACGGTTGCAAGACAAGTCATAAAATGGGGCAAAACTCCCTTAACAAATGTCTCACTTAGCCACGTAAATTTGGGAGCTCAACTGTGGTCATGTCGAGGACTACCTGTGCTTTTATCCCCCCCCCCCCCCAAAAAAATGGCATGCTCAGTGAGGTAAGTTTGCCTGCGGCTCACGTGCCAGCACAAATGGCTCTGCGTGCCACTTGTGGCACGGGTGCCATAGGTTCGCCATCACGGGTGTAGGGTCTCCTGCTTGGGCAGGGGGTTGGACTAGATGACCTACGAGGTCCCTTCCAACTCTGTT